CAACTTATTGATCGACATTCAGCACTACAAACGTCGCATAAGGAAGATTCCGACCGCATTCCATTCACTCTCACGTTTCACCCTCACAACCACTCAGTTAAATCCATCATTCTTAAAAACTTTAAATTACTTCAAAACGATCCAGAGACAAGCACTATCTTTTCGCAGCCTCCGCTCATTTCATTCAAACGCGACAAAAACATAGGCAATTTTTTGGTCAGAAGTTCTTTTCAGACTAATGACCAACCAGGCACTTTTAAATGCGCTCGTGCACGATGCAAAACGTGTCCTTTCATTCACAACACTGAGAAAATATCGGGACCTAAACGATCCATTAAAATCACCCATCACTTCACGTGCACCTCCGCCAATGTAATCTATTGCATAACTTGCACTTATTGCAAAAAGATATACATCGGCGAAACAGGCAGAAGACTAGGTGTCCGATTCCGAGAACACCTTCGCGACGTGGAGAGTAATGACAAGGACACATCGAAACTAGTCGCTAGACATTTCAATTTACCTAATCATTCTAAGCAACACATGGCAATCTGCGGTCTTTCCTTACTCTTAGGTAGCACGGAAAGCCGGAAAACTCTTGAACAAAAGCTCATCTTTTAAACAGGCAATCTAAATCCTACAGGTATCAACGAACGCTTTTCATTCCACTAATTTATTCGTGTTTTTCTCGTTGCCATGTTCCCACCAATCAGCTCCTTTTTCTGCCTTTAAAAGCTCACACAACCCACAACTCCTCTATTCGCTCCGACGAAGGGCTAACGCTCGAAGCGTCAGCTTTTATAATCGTAACGGTGGCCAATTTACCATTTCAACTTTGTTGATATATTCAAATTGTTCAATTCCATTGTTTGTACATATGGGTCCTCTTTCACAGGCTCTCCAAGTGTGTTTCCAACATTGATATCCCTGATTACTAAACGACATACATGTAAGAACTAACCAGCCTTAGAAAGTTGGTTAATGTTTTTCATTTACCTGTACATGTATTAATTTTGTGGGTCCACCTCAAGTTACCTTTTGAATAATGACCAGATTTAAGTTCCGAAAGATCTTATTAGTATTGGATGAAGCATGCCGTTAGTTCTCAAGCATGTTTATATACCATATCCTCATGTTTTTCACTCTTAAATCTCCTGTAATTTTCTTTCTACTTGCTGGATACATGCAGGTGATCCTTTTATTTCCCAGCCTTTGCAGTGTCTAACAACAGTAAATCCTCAGCTATTGAAGCAATTCGACATGATGGTAGGCAACAATTAACTGCATCGTTCTTGATATTTTAATGTATTTTAGGACAATATCAAAAAATAGGCAGGCTAAAACAGACACAATGGGATGTAGA